AATACAGAAAATAACTCAAGTTTGTTTGCTTTATTTTAAGAACTTGTTATGTGTCATGACAGCTAGCGTAAATTGATATTTACTTTGCACAATTTAATAAAACCTAATTTAATCCTCAGAATTTGGTTGCATGGTACAAATTTATTGGTATCAACATCACTATTGTATGTCATCATGCATGTGAATAGATATAATTTGCAATGAAAAAATTAGTAAAACACAATAAACTTTGTCCCATTTACATAATAAATTATGTAATTTTGTAGAATTAATAGCATACTAGGTTTGTATCATATTTCTGTCACCATCCAAATGTCTGCAGGCAGACAGTAATAATGAATCAATCAGGGATGAATAAGGATCTAAGGGATCAAACTATTCAAAATTTTTAAATCCGTTACTTTTACTGCATGGAGAAGTGCTACGCTGCATAGTATTGTAAATAGAACCGGAAGTGAATAGAACCGGAAGTGAATAGAACCGGAAGTTAGATCTTAGATCATAGTTTTGATTGACATTTAAGTTTAACATTAGGAGAAAACTTCTCGGACAACTTCTCGGACAGAAAAAGTCAAACTGTTATTAAAAGCTAACCTGATATTTAAGATATAAGCTAACCTGAAACGATGTATACGTAGCTGAGATGTAAACGTGGAAGCCCCGCGGAAGTGAGTACAGATGACATGTTTTGTAAATAGAGATACACACAACGTTATAACGGTCATAATATTATTACTCCGGCGCCAGCGACGGAGATGAAAATTCGCCACGGTTTTGTTTTGTTTGTTTTTTTTTTATTTTTCGTCGTCGCAAGTCTGTAATGGCGCGACATATACTAGTATCTGAAATGTGTATGTGACCGTATTTATCCACGTCCCAGTCTTATCTTCTAAGAGTTGTGGTGCACAGTTTTGGCTAATTTTCTGATGCGTGATTTGATTTCGCTCGCATGATACGGCAATTCCTCCAAGAGGAACAAGTAAACGGTTTTTTTCATGCTGTTCGATTAAGTTTAGATTGAATTTAGGTAAGAATATATTTAATACATGTAGATTCTGATCCTATTTTAATAATATCGCTGCTATTTCGCCGTTTAACAAGATGATGTGGTTGTGTATGGGCGCGTTGACACGTCGTAGTTTGCACAGGATTGAGGATTTAATCCCCGAGCCTGTGCGGAGCACCGTGCGAGGGTACTACATTCCACTCGGATATTTACACCCACGACGTGCAAAGGCGAAATCAAAGTTATCCGCCAGTATGCAATGGACCCACTGAGCTATAATATAATTCCTGGAGGACCGGCCCGCGACCAAAAAGTGAAGCAAAAAACATGGCGGATTTGGGCGTTTGCTGACGGCAGATTGACGCCACTGGTTCCAAGGAATTCGCCATGGTAGTTACCACTGACCAAGGCTCAATTCTGAGCCCGCTACAAAAGGACTCCCCCTGGTTTTTGTTAAAAATGGAATTCAGTTCCAGTGAACTCAAAAGAACTGGAAGGTTACCTCGGGCCGGAGATTTGAAGCCAAATTTTGGGGTCATGCCCAGTCTTTTCACGCAACTAAACACGCGGTTTTTTGAAACTTCAAAAATAATACTTCAACATGCAAGCAGTAAAAACATCTTTTAGAAAACATAAAGTGCGTTTTGCACAGTATTTTTTACTATAAAAGCATCCGTGAAAACTAAAGAGTAAAGTATACTAAATTTATCTGTATCAAACTCGCAATTAAATTGCCCTTTCTTATGAAAAACGTTGAACGAGGAGTGAAGCCGGGACAATTCAAAAGTGTTTGTGTGAATTCACTTATTTAATTTCATTGTTTATCAATTTAATCCCTCTGAAACTTACGAAAAAACATTCTAACAATATTTATTTAACAACAAACTACAGCTAAATTTTCTTTTTTATATGTTTTATGAGCACATAACAGCAAAATATATATTTTTTGTTTTGTTGCCTGCAAACCTTTTTGAAGTAGTGATCGTTTTCGAACAAACTGTTTACATTTTCCTTATAATTTCACCACGCCGCGGTTCGAGGTATGCTTTAATCAGCATTGATTACAAAATTATAGCCTAAATCGTTAAAATAAACGATAAATCCGAACGAATGTAACTTCGCCGCTAAACAGTTCATGTTTTCCTTATGTTCACTCCTGAACAGGCCCTCGCGAGAATGTTTCGCAACATGTACACGCGTGTCTGGAGGTAAAACACGCGTGTCTGGAGGTAAAATTTGGCTTCAATAATTTTGGCTATTTTAATCAGGAGGTAGCCTTCCAGTTCTTTTGAGTTCAATGTTCAGTTCTCATTTTTATATTTTCCAAAAAAAATTTAAACGTCAGTCAATATTCTTGAACTGAAAACTTTTTGATCAGATACGTTCGACGTTTTTGTGAAGATATCAAAGTCGTACACGTTACTTCTGTCAAAAACGGGAAACAAACAACAGATAAATCATAAAACTTCAAGAAATTTGCCGAAACGAAAATGCAGTTGACTGACAGGTAAATATATTATTAATAAGTATCATTTTTTAGATAAAATTTCACCATTTTTTTTCATTAACAGTCTTTAGATAGATGTCGTTGTTTATATATTTTAATATTTGACCAAAAGACGGCGGCACGAGAAGTGAAATGTATAGTTTGAAGTTTGAACAACTACTAAAAAGATTACCCTATACTTTGGAAGTAATTTATTTTACATATAACATAAATATTTCAGGCATTTTCTTCCAAAGAACGCTGAAAGGTAACATGATGCAAAGAAACAGAAGCTAAGAATCATTCGGGGAGGATGAAGATGTGCAATTTCAACCAAGGGTAGCCTGCCTATTTGTGAAGCTGGATTTCATTAGCCAGAAGAAATAGTTTTTCTGTACTGAACTATATCAGCATATATCATGTATATTGATGATCTTATTAGCTTAAACACTTTTGGAATAACTAACACAACAAGTAATTTCAAGGAGCCGGCCCTATAATATATGCTCTTGGACATTGCATGTATCTTACCTGTTTAACTTTTCCAAGTTAAGATTGTCTAGTTTGTTGATGTTTGTTTTGTTCATATAATTTTCAATAATTGAATAAAGACAGACTTGGTAAACTAAGGTGCCTTACTGCATCGTGTTGCCAATTTTCCCCTGGTTTAACCTAGTTATTTGGTGACAAAATATCAATCTTATCTCAACGAAGGTGTTAGACCTTTCTAATTAAATTTAACATAGTAATTTTAAATTAATCACTTTCCCAGTGACTAACGCAGCTAATAATTTCAAGGGTGCCGAAGCAGCGGAGGAGCCTGCCCTATTATATGCTCTTGGAAATTGAATGTATCTTACCAGTCTGACTTTTCCAAGTTAGGATTGTGTAGTTTGTTGATGTTTGTATTGTTCATATAATTTTCAATAATTGAATAAAGACAGACTTGATAAACTAAAGTGCCTTACCTGTTATGCTACCCCCGCCTGCCCTTGATTGCTTCCGGTGGCTCTGAGTAGTTTCTGGCAGATATACACATAGGGCCCACATAATGGCAAGGTTGGCAAGTGACAGCAGGAACAGTAGGTTTATGCTTATATTCTATCAAGTATACAATAATGTACTTGTATCAAATATTCTGAAATGAATTATATTGTGGGACTACAAAGTCTACTGTTATATACTAAATTTGCATGTAAACTTGACGCATTTTAAGGATTTTTAAAATATACACTCCTCATGCCATATTGGATATTATGGCCGCGTATGAGTTGGAGGCCTGGTTACGAAGTGCTCTGCTCTATCTGAAATAGGAAATAGCTTTAACCGAATATCTCACTTCTTGCTTAATCCGTGTTTCTACAAGATAATTTCTGAAGCTGACATTTTTAAAACTTTATTTTGAATGCTCAAAATTGGAAGTGGAATTTTATAAATAATTTGGCGCAAAAAGCGCGCTTTCAAGTTAATAAACATTGATCGAGGATCGCGCATTCGTACTTGTAAGATAGCTTTTTAGCGAAGTCAAGAAGAGAATCAAGAACGCCAAGAGCTTAGTAAAGTCTGGAAACTCTGGTCGCGGTTAAAGAGCATGCCAGCGACTACATTGCTATCTTTAGAGAACAAAGAGAGATAAGCCACACAAATTCACACCGGGCTTTATGCTGTATTTTTATACACATATGGGACTTGAATGTAAATCTTATAATATAAGAGCGTACGGGAGTTAAAATTTACACATCCAATACAAGGGTATATTCGAGCGGATATTCAAGGGTATATTAATAATGTATGGCAAGGTCAAGGCAATGCAAAGGAGGAAAAATCCGATCGAAATTTGCCATTGAAAATAAGAAAATATAGGTCCTGGTCATGTGTTAATTGGCAAGCAAAGACACTTTAAAAAGTCTCTATTCTCGATAGTGTAATCTATATCGTCAATACTGTAGCTGACACTAGCAGGCGATTGCAGAATCACAGCAAGGCTATATATTATGCATGGGTATTTGGCAATATAGACAAATTTTTACAATGAATAATGTCTCGCTTATTCTTTACTTATTCAACGGCACTTAATAATATGACCAAGTGTGAATATCTCAAAAAATATTCACGCAATATTCGAACATATTTTAGGTGCATGAGAATATGGGGTTTGTTTTTTATTCACAGGTATTCACGTCGGAATACCCCTAATATTATGAGGATATTCACAGTGAATATCTGTGAATACGTGTGAATACTAACCTTATTCGAACTCATATTCGCACGTATTCACCTGTGAATACTCGGCTTTTCATGCAGTGCAAACAAGTGATAATACAACGGACAAAACCACACAATTTATAATGAAGAAGCATTCCGTTGCAGAGAGAAATAATTCTATACATGCATGGAAAGCAACGTTTACTAGTGGATAAATGCTACAATTGTTGTATAATTTTTTGAAATCATGCATGGGTAGAATCGATGCACTGAAGCCGTTATAACTCCCTTGACACGAAGAGACTGGTTTTTAACTTTTATTTACGTCACGAACATGAATATGATTATCAAGAGATTAACATTATATAGGTATTGTCAACGCTAACGGTTAAAAATGCAACAAACATAACCGGGAAAGGGGGAGTCAGAATGATCACACCTTCCTAAGTGCCCTGGACAATGATCGAAAAAAAGGATTCCTTCTTGGTGCGTGTCGAAGCAAAAGCACTCTGAAAGACAAAGAAAGAAACGATTGAATCACATGCGAACGTGGCGAAAACAGATATATCTTAAAGTAGCCGAATGAGACGTGTTCGGCAAGACGATTGACTGTATTTATTAAAAGTCTAAACACTAAATATTTTTCACAGATAAGGGCTCGAAAACGATCGCTTGATCGAGGCTAAATGCATTTCTTTGCACCGTTCTTTATGATATGATAGTATAAGTAAAATAGTAAGTAATAGTAATTTTATTTCATAACCTTAAATTGCTGACTAGACTGCTTACTACACTGATAACTTTACGTCACTAAACTTGTTTAGTTTCTACTATTTGTGGTGACCTAGCTGAGCCACATTATAGAGTACTTTGCAGAAATAACCTAAAAAAAACCGCGGTTAGCGTAGATCAAGCCTCTGTTTGATCGCGGTTGAACCGAGGTCAGACCGATGTTGAGCCGCGATGAGACAGAGGTTTAACCTCGGCCTAACTCGGTCTGACAGACACTTCTTAAGATGTTTTCGATATGATTATTGTATTGTCGTTCTCAGCTGTTCAAACATTCCGTTCGGATCGGAGGCGAATGGTAACCCTAATCGTATTTTTCCCCTGCGGTCGTCGAACCACAACCTAACCGCGACCGAACCGCAACCTCAGTGTTAGGTTATTTCTAGACAGTACTGTATGTGAGAAATAATTATTTGTTATTGTTTATCTTACGGTCTTGTCTTTTCTCGCGCACATGACGTGTTTCCCCCAGGTATATCATAACAAATACCAGAACAAGCACTTGAACGATCTTCATATTCCTTGAAAATAAAGAAATTATAGCAGAATTAATCTTTCAGTCTGTATAGAAACCATTTAATATGTGAAAAGAAACGGTTTTGTGTTAATGACATTGCCACTGGAAGTAATTTAACAGTCTTTATGCCAGCGAAGAATTTGGAAGAAACGCGCATCCACAAAATGATAGAGTAGTTCATTTTTAAGGTGTTTTAAATTTGGTTAGCAATACGTATTACTGTAATTGTCTTTACATGCAGATGATCATCTATACATGCAATACCTTTTAAGAGCCTAATCTAATCGGAAAATACTTTACTCCCTTCTATAGCTTAAAGTAGAAGTAGTAGTAATTAGAGGTAATGCCATGCTAGTTACCCACCAGAAAATATTAGTTATACAAGACGTATAGTTTGTTCTCAAACCTTATTACCTTATTTCAATTTGTGTAAATCGATTATGATTTTTGGCACTTCACTCGAGGCAGGTAAATTCTAGAGTTTTAAAGGGTTTTAAATTTCGAGTGCAGTCAGTGCTAGGAGCAATGAAATCCTGAAACAGGCCACAATAAATTATTAAACGATTGTACAAATCTCTATAGCTATACCCCCGCCAAAATAAGGCCTTACACCAAATGTGCAAGTACGACGAGGAATTAGGCAAATAAAACAAAATAAGTTAATTGTAATTACAAAATACGCTCAATAACAGTAAAACAGCCTTCGTGTGTAATTCATTCATTCATTCACTCGAAATAAAGACCCTTTGAAACTCTTATTTAAATTAAGCTGATTTCAAGGTTTGGATTCCAACCTCGATCTCGACTCAATATTAATTTGCTCTCAATGCATCGATCTGAACATATAGAGGATGCACATGCCTTAAATTACTTTCTCATCATGCAAAAGCAATTCAAAGGAATTTATTCCAGTGCGCAATTTGTATAGCTTCATTCTTTCAGTATAAAATCTTATCTCCCTTTTGCAACAAACTAATTTCAATCGCATCTTATATAGATAAGGGTGTATATATGCGCGCATGTATTCAAAACTACAGTGTTAATAGCATGATTTTGCATAAGCACTATGTCAATTTTGCAACAAAACCGTAGGGTATCAGTGTTGATTGTTGTGCTTTTTGACGTTTGTGTATATAGAAGATACATTCAAGCAAAACATATATTATCCCGTTTGTCTATAAGACACGAAGTATTTTATTTGGCATGTCTTCCATTTAAACCGGTTTTACAAAAAATATGCATTTATAGGCCTAAAGTATAGAGCACAAATCGGTACTTACCCTCTGTTTAGCTGGATTTCACACTCTTCTTCTTAATTTACTTTAGGGAAATTTCACTGTGTAATGCGTTATGAGCATTGAACTGATTTCATTTCGCCTTTTATAAGGATCCCCGCGTCATGCTATAAATATAGCATGATGTTTGTTACATCATGCAGGCGAGAAATTGCGTGCATGCATTCATCTAGAACAAGAACACGAGTAGAGGCTGTCTTTGTTAACAATTAAAACAGGAAGAACGTTTAATTTTTTTCTTCCTTTTTAAAAGAACTTCTGCATGACTGGCGAAAGCCTAATTCATCTTTCACGCATTGATATTACTAAACTTAGAACAGAAATTTGCATTTTAGGTATAGATGAGAATATTAGTTATATGTATACAAAGTTCGATTTACTAAAATTAGGCCGGACATAGCGAGCGGGATACGTTTTGGAGGAGTTGCATGTTATTGTATCGCATGTCGTTGAAAAAGCGCTATAGGCTACGAATGAAATTCGTCGGGCGTAAGGCCGTAATATTCTTACAAACATGAAGTCGGTTCACTAAGCCAAAGTTAACTCCAAAAGCACATGGAGGTACTTGAGAAAGATAATATTCAGCGAGTTTTCATTTAATCAGCTCGTTGTGTCATGGCTACTATGTACACGCGTCGGGTAAAAATGCACTGCCAAGTAGTTTTTTTAAGTTGAATAAGCAAGATTCAGCAAAAACTTGCAGCAACTATTATTCCCGAATATTGTTACATTCACAATATTATCACAACTTGTTAAACAAAACATAACACAAAAGAAATACGTTACTGATACGCAAATCTATTATATACACACCCAATTGCATGCCCTTCCCTAATTATTGCAACTTGTTTCTGCCTTGTTGTCTAAAAGTTCAGTTACAATACTCCCTCCATGCAGCGTCAAAAGGAAACTCAATCATTAATAACCATGCTAAAATACTTAAAGTTATAATATCTTAAGTAATATTTGAGCAAGCGCACGAAAAGTCGCAACAAAAGCCCTCGGAATATGAACAGGTATACAACATGATTACTAGCAGTAATCACAGATTAGTGATGTGCGTTCGGAATGTGTTGATTTCGGTCAACGATCATTAACAAAAATGTTAACATTATACACAGGCTCACAGCGTATGTGATTCAAAAGGTTACCCGCAAAATGAGTAATTTTAAAAACGGGATGGCTGATATGCTTCAATTCACAACAAAATGTCAAAATAGAGGGAGCCAATGGTCTCGATATGACACAACTAGGAAGCGTTCTCCTTCGTCGAATGCAATAATATCCCGCTGGCTAAGTTCCTGATGTTAGTGGAACTTTATAATACAATTATATCGATCTACCCAAAATAAGTTAATAACATGCATCTAGACAGAGAAACATGGGTTAATAATATGCTCAATTGGGCCATTTATACGAGGAAAAATAAGTCGCGACTTATTTTAGACGCGACTTAAAAAAGAGGCGACCTTAATTGGTCGTCGTGTAAACGATACAAAATGCTTGTTCGCATCTTAAATAAGACGCGTCCTATGTAAGTCGCGACTTAGATAATTTATCAGGGATTTTACATGTTCTTATTTCAGACGCGTCTTAATTAAATTCAAAACGGCCGAAAAAGTCAGAAATCAGAATAGCGGAATTGATTACAAGTCAAGCTGACACCATAAAGAGCAAAACTCCAGCAAAAACAAGAGATACGTGGAATGGCAACAACACTAAAATAATACGGACTTAGGACTCGAAGAAAACGGATATAACTATTTATACCAGCTCCATCTTATTTAAGTCGCGACTTATTTTGGCTCGTAATTAAATCTCTTAAATTTAAAGAAATATGCCCAAACACATGATATTTTATTGGCGCCAAATACAGATGTTTTCAGTGGGGCCACTTTTTTGCCCACCCCCTGAATTTATTGGAATATTAGGCTAATATTTGCTATTACTAAAAATACTAAAACAGATCAAGAGGTATCAGCGCCGTTCTCATTGTAACACACAAAATTCTCGCAGAATATAATTATGTATTCTCCGTTCTCAAAATAACAAGCAAATTATACAATCGCTATGTATGACTGCTTTATTCCTAATAAAAAATTATGAGAATTAGGCCTAGGTTATACGTTGCATTTTGGTCGCATTTCAAGAAATGGACAATGAGATGTTAAGGCCCTGTGACGCGGTGCAATTTTTCTATAGTGATAATACTTCTATAATTATATAGGAATACAAACTATGTCAGCAAAGTAATGTATTCGCAATATGTATTTGCTCCGTTCTCAAAATAACAAGCGAATTGATACAATTACAGTTTTTAATTATGCGTCAAGACTCAAAGGTATCATGTAAACCTCTTCACAACGATATTAGACTTTCGGCCTTGGCATCTTGATTATGATGCCAACATAATAATTATAAGATTAGAAAAGATAACAACTGGCGACTCGTGCATATCAAGTGCAAGAGGGTGGGAGTATTATCACTCCCTAAATCATCTTTTCTGGCAGATTTCTGCCGACATTAACTTGGCCGTTTTGTCTTGTCCACGTCTTGATCAAATTTACAATCACAAAGACAGAGCCATCAGTTTGAGGTGATTGTCAATTTAAAACAATACTGAGTGACAAATATACTGACATCATTACACGCAAGAATTCACTTCATTCCCCGAACAATGCGTATATATGAATATTCGAAATCAAATTGAAGGTTACTCGGAATTACTCCCGCGCGCTAAATTCTTGTTTATTTCCCGCGTGGTAACAAAGCTTCGATACAATAAGATCGTGTTAAGAGCTGAAAATGGGCTCAAGGTACGCTTTGTTGGCAATCTAGCTGCAACGACATCCAAAGCAGGCAGGGATGCTCGTCATCATGCAGCATGCCTGAATCTTTTTATTTTAACGAATTGTTATAATTATTATTTTTTGATATAACAATACCACAAACAAAATAAGTCGCGACCTAAAAAAGACGCGACCTTGATCGTCGTATAAACGATACAAAATGCTTTTTCGCGTCTTAGATAAGACGCGTCCTATGTAAGTCGCAACTTAGATAATTAAGTTGATAGGGATTTTAGCTGTTCTTATCTCAGACGCGTCTTAATTAAATTTAAAACGGCCGAAAAGGTCAGAAATCAGGATAGCGGAAATTACAAGCAAAGCTGACACCATAAAAAGCAACACCAGCAAAAAAAGAGATGCGTAAGACGCGAAGAAATGATATAACTATTTATGCCAGCTCGCATCTTATTTAAGTCGTTACTTATTTTGCCTCGTGTATAAATAGCTTAATGTCAATGAGGGCAAACAGACAATATCACAGGCTAGTATTCGTGTCTGGTTTTGGGTGAATGCATGCACGCGATTTCTTGCCTGTTCTAGAATAATTACGACGATTTATAGCATGGTGAGGTTCCTTATGCAATGCTAAATGAAATCAGTTCATTCTTCACAACGTATTCTTCACTATATATAAGCGGATACAAAATGCGAAATATTCACAATGCATGTGAGTGCATGATATAACACACAAATTACAATACTTGGACTTGCAGGCTTACAGAGAAGGCAAGTGTTCATGCAAACTATATATAAAAGAGAAATATACGAAGATAAAATATAAAATGCCCAATGGCCCTAAAGAATATAAAATTAGCTTTAATAAACTGTTAATATATAAATAGAGTAAAAACATTCGGTCGCGAAATGTATATAATATATTAAGAACTTTATAGAATGCAATTCAATATTGCAGGAAATGCAAGGGCTACTTTACAACACATTGCACGATGCTTTTTCTGGGTTAGACATTTAGCAATTTATTTTGTCAAAGGTTTACTGTAAGAGACTTGTAAGAGATTTTACCAAATATGTATTTAATATCATAATTGTTTCTGATTCCGCTTAACTATTTGTTTATGTAAACCTCTTCAAAATTATATTACACTTCCGGCCTTGGCGTCTTGATTTTGATGCCTAATTTTCAAGGAGGAAGATGGCCATTGACGAATCGTGGTCAAGTGCAAGAGAGTCGGGAGTATTATCACTCAGTATTCCTCTATCCTTAGTTTTGTCCTGAAAGAGCAAAGCAAAACTCGAAGTGTTTTTTAATGTGAACGGAATGACAAACTTATTCTGGAAAATGTTAATTGCTTAACTCTTTGTTTATGTAAATCTCTTCACAATGATATTAGACTTTTGACTTTGGCGTCTCAGTTTCAAAGAAAAGATATAACAATGGAAAGGCGACTCCTAACTGCAGGGAACGGGAAGTATTATCACTCAGTAGTCATTATTTGTCTATCCTCACTCAGTTTTGTACTAGAACAAAAAAACAAAACTCGACGTGTTGCTATAGCCCTGGTACCTATTTTATAAATTGGAAGCTATTTTATAAAATCGGAAATTTACATTTAAATGGAACACTACAAAGACGAATTTCGTTCCGATTGACTAAATGCTGAAACAGTGAAAATTAGTTTTGGCCAAATGGATAAAATTTATCAAATAACATTTTATTCCGTTTATGATGCAAACACTATGACACACGAAATACTGTAACACAACATCTTTAAGCGCCGTTTTTAAATAGCAAACTGCATGCAGTATGTAGACAGTATGTTTTGGCATACTAGGCCAATATTTGTATAACCACATGCGATATCAACGCAAAATATGTATTTGCTATATGCATAACGGCTAAATAAATATTTCATGCATTATGTAACAATAATATACCCAAAAAGATAATTCACTTAATTCAATAAAAACTGAACTAGAAAACTCTAACTATAATTCTTGAAAATTTTATTTTATTTTTTTATAATATAATCGTGCAAAAGCAACGCGTAATGCAATGAATGTTCCCGGAATGTATAAATGCAAATTGTAGGACACTATTTCTGAAGAACTTGCTGTGAATCAGACAACTGTTTGACAAACAATTACATGCATGAAAACTCCCATCTTGAATAATTAATTTTTATCAAAAGTGCTACAAATGCGCCGTTCTCATTGTAACACTCAAAATTCTCGCAGAATATGTATTCCTCGTTCTCAAAATA